CTCTTTTATTTTTATTTATTTATTTTATTAATTTTAATTTTTTTTTTTTTTTTGCTTTTTGGGTCACACCCAGCGATGCTCAGGGGTTATTCCTGGCTCTGCACTCAGGAGTTACTCCTGGCGGTGCTTGGGGGACCATATGGGATGCTGGGGATTGAACCCAGGTCGGCTGCGTGCAAGGCAAACGCCCTACCTGCTGTGCTATCACTCCGGCCCCCTCTCTTTTAGTTTTAGCCTGTGTTTCTTTTATCTTGCAGAAACTCTTTTAAATTAATGTTGCTGGCAAAACTGGATAAGCACATGTAAAAAATTAAAACTGGGTCCTTATCTCACGCCTTAGACAAAAGTCAATTCACAGTGGATCAGAGGCCTTGAGATCAGATCAGAATCTATTAAAAAATTTACTCTATAAAGACACCTCTTAGGGAAAGGGCGTTGACCGGCCCGCCCGCTCCTCTCTGGAAAGAAAGATGGCGGCCGCACGGGAGCCTTGTGGAAAGCAGGTTTGAGCCGGGGCTGGCGGGAGCGGCAGGGACCTCATGGGAAGGGGGGCTTTGTGGGCCGTCCTCCACGCCCCACCGAGGTCGCCGGCTGCCCCCCACGAGCGGCTCTCCGGCACGGCCACGACTCCAGGGCACAGAAACCAATCTCTTAACTAGCTAACTTTTAATAGAAATTCTTCCAGGGTCAATAAGTAAAATAGCAGAAATTCAAAACTGTGCGGCCGCAATAGTGGCCGCGCGACATCATTTTATTCTTAAACCAAGTTGTAGAAAGCAAATCATTTCACAACGCTGTTTCAGCATGTCTGATTGTGGGGGTGGGTCGTAAACTCTAAACAATAATTGTGCATCTTCTATCGAAATTATCTAGTCAAAGTAGATAGAGTATTAACTAGAACTCATCTGCCTCACAAGAATTGGGAGGGGTGGGAGGTGGGGGTCTATTGGGGTTCGGGGTTAAAAATGAGTATTGGTAAAGGGAAATGTGTTCGGTATCTACATGACTGAGACCTAAACCCGAAAGCTCTGTAACTTTTCCCACAGTGATTCAATAAATAAATAAATTATAAAAAAAAATAAAGACACCTCTTAGAAAAAGGCAAAAATGGACTCCAAAAAAATATTTGAAGATTTTTATATATAATTAGTCACTTGCCAGGTCATATCATTAAAAGATACAAATATCATGCAAAATGAACAACATATTTGGATATTGATGTCCAGAGCATATAAATGCACAGCTAAATGTATACACACATGAGTAATAAGCACTTATTACACTTAGCAACATTATTCACTAAGGAAATGGAAAGCAAGTTCAGAAATACTTTAAATCTTCTAGAATGGCTAAAATAAAAATCCAGAAAAGGGGAATGTTTGTGAGTGATAAAGAAATGAGAACTATCCTATATTGTTTATATTTTTATCTATACGTATTTATTTATTTATTTTGAGGGGGTCATATCTATCAATGCCCTGGGGTTCTGACTTAAATCTGGCTCTGTGTTCAGGGATCAGTCCTGATGGGCTTGGGATCAAACCTGGGTCAGCTGCATGCAAGGCAAGCACCCTGATCTCTGTATTGTGTCTCTGACCCCTTTTTGTATTTTTTAAAATAAAAAAGTGTGTGTGTGTGTGTGTGTGTGTGTGTTTCACAATTGATAATACTTGGGCTTACTCCCAGTGGTACTCAGGGATTATGTGGTATCAGACCTTGAACCTGGACCTCCCACATACAAAGCTTATATAGTTTGCTGAGTTATGTCTCCACCCCCTCTCCTATATAGTTAAAGTGAATATAAAGTGGTGCAGTTACTCTGGGAAATGGTTTGGTGGCTTCTTACAAAATAATTTTTAAATGTATTTTCAGTAGGGCCGGAGCGATAGCACAGAGGGTAGGGCATGTTGCCTTGCACGGGGCCAACCCGTGCAACCTGGGTTCGATTCATCCGCCCCTCTTGTAGATCCCTGCAAGCTACTGAGAGTATCTCGCCCGCACAGCAAAGCCTGGCCAGCTACCCATGACGTATTCGATATGCCAAACATAGTAGCAGCAAATCTCACAATAGAGACGTTACTGGGCCCGCTCAAGCAAATCGATGAACAATGGAAGGATAGTGACAGTGACGGTGATTTTCATGAGGAGCGAGCTAGTTCACTTAGAGATGTGTCCACATCCCGACTCACTGGGGAATGCCCATAGAGGTACTAGTCATAGGGGCTCCCCAGAGGAAACAGCCCTGAGCTTCACTGAATAATGAGTGGATAAATAACACAATACCACGGTGGTATCCAAACAATAGCAGCTCAAAAGATGGAGTTAGTGACATAGCCAACAGTATGAATTCATCTTAAAGACAATGTGACTCAAAGAAGCCAGCCAGACACACATGCGCGTGCGCGCGCACACACACACACACACACACACACACTCACTAGGCTACGTTTTCTCTGATTCAGTTCCTGTAATATTTTCAGAAATGATAAAAATATAAACATGCGTAGTAAAGTGGTCGGCTCAAGGCAGGTGGTCGGTGTAAGGCTTCATTGCAAGTGGACCCAGAGAAATTTTCGGCCTGATAAAATGGTTCTAAAGTTGGATTGATGATGGATGGTCTGCTTGGTCATGGAGGTGTAGACGCAACTTTGTGCCGTGCGATCTAAGTGATAGGTTAAGATATCTTCCTTTTAAAAGAAAAATCATTGTTGGGAAAATCCAAATAAGTAGTAGGATAGGGGTCAGCGACATAGGATAGGAGTTAAGGCATTTGCCCTGCAGGTGGCCGAGCCTGGTTAGATCCCCGGTGTACTCTAGGCATCTCTGGGGACAGCCCCTAAGGTCCCTACACACTGCCATGTGTGACCTGGAGGCTTCTGAGCTCTGCTGGGGTAGCCCTGGTAATCCCTGGCAACGTAGGACCCTCATAGCACTGCCTCCTGGGGCCCTCGCATTGAACTGACAGCCTCTTGGCCAAGAATCACAGGGAGAGACCCCTGAGCCTCCTGAGCACTGCTTGGGACACCCCCACCCTCAGCCCACTTGAGGATCATCCTTTTAAATCCAGTCATATCTGTAATTACATTATGTGCAAATTGTTCAAACACATCAGTGAAAATCCTGAAATTGGCAGGATAAAAAAGCAAGCGCCGACTCTTAATACTGTCAGTGGAAAACTTTAAATATTCCGTCTTAGAAATATTAAAATATTTTGACAAAGATAGTAGATGATCCAACCGAAAACAGGAGTGACTTAATATTAGGATGTAACAGATTCAGCAGAATGTGAGGCCAGGATAAAAGGGGGTATTTCATAATGATAGATAGAGCTCATTTCCTCAAGAAGACACAATCTTGAATATCAACTCACCTAAAAACACACCTTTAGACCAAGACAAACAACTGGTAAGAGTTGTTTGAAATCTCAAACGTGGTTTGAGATTTCAGCACTTACCCTGGGTCATGCATAGAAAAAAAAAGTAGATGAGGGACCAGAGCCGAAGTATAACAGGCAAGGGACTTGCCTTGCTCGTGGCTGACCCAGATTCTGTCTCTGGCACCCTGTGGTTCCCCAAGCCCATCGGGACTGATCCCTGAGCGCAGAGCCAGGAATAAACCTTGAGCACTGCTGAGTGTGGCTCCCTCCCGCCCTCCTCCCCCCACCAAAGAGTAGATGAAGTTCAGCAAGGATAGAGAAAAACCTTAGCTGGACTGTAAGCCATCTTGACCTGGTTGACCTCACCTGTCCATTTGGTCCAGCTACCAGTCTGCAGGTATAAAAAGGTTCAAAGTCACTTGTCTTATCAGCAATAGGCAACGAGCACATTCTGATCAGATGCATATAAAGCTCAAGATAGATTACATTCAGGGAAATAAACAGCCTCGTGTCTTAAAAAGTATTACATCAAAGGACATTTTCTTGGCTACCAAATAATTAAAGCAAGAAATCAGTCACGGTGGTGTATCTGGAAGACTGCTGATATCTGAAAATGAATTACACAGTACCGCATAACTCGCAGGTTAAGGAATCTCAGGGGAAATTAGAAAATAATTTGGATTAAGTGAAATTTAAAACTGACTATAGTAATATCTGAGGTGCGGTTAAATCAATGCCTTTAGGAAATTTATAATTTTAAGTGGTTTTATTGAAAACATTTCAGTTCACTGATGTAGCTTCTTAAGCTGTTAGGAAAGGAACAAATTAATCCCACAGTGATTGGGAATCAGTGAGTCCCACTTTAGCTTTATTATATAAGTCTTCATGTATAAGTTTTCATGACTAATATAAGAAGTACAAATTATTAATGTAAGAAGCACAAATTATGATTGATATAAAAAGTATTGATAATAGGTGAGAATAAAATGAAAACCTAAGATTAGTCCAATTGATAGATCTCTAGAGTTATTTAAAAAATAAAGTACAGTTTAATAGTATAAAAAAGATAATAAGCCATTATTACCTTTACAGTCATTACAAAGAAAATTAAAAAATGACAACCTTGCTAGTAATTATGTAACTTGAATAAAACGAATGTATTCTGTAGAAGACAGAAGTTGCCAATACTAGGCAAGAAGAAAGAAAAATATGAATAGTACTAGTTCTCTGAAATAAATGGGATTATATTTTAAAGCCTTCCTACAGAAAATTCCAGACTCAGATGGCTTCTCTGTTGAGTTCTGTCAAACGTTTAGAGAAGGAGTAGATACTATTTTAAATCAGCTATTTCAGAAAACCAAGGAGAAGGGAATAATTTCCATCTCATTTTGAGAATCATATTATCCTGATACTAGAAAAAGACAAGACTTCTCTACCAGAAAATATGCAGCCTTGATGAGAAATGAAAGAGATGACTGTTATGTTTTTGGATTGTATATTATTAATAGGTCCCAACTTGATCTGTAGATTGCACATAATCTCAGAGTCCTAGCAGGACTCTTTTTTTTTTTTTTTTTTTCTGGGAAGAAGCTTCCTTGTTGATTAGGAAAAAAAAAAGCTTTTGTTGCTTGCCTGGCAGGAGCAATACCGTGATCATGAAGGTGGTTTTCCTAGGGCAAGGCTTATCCATTGCACTTCTGATGTGCTGACCCCTGCGATTTCCCCAAATATGGCAAACTCATCTGCATAATTCATTGTGAGGGACAGTTCTCCCACTCTCCCCTAAAAAAGAAAAGCAAAAAAAAAAGCTTTTTAAGAAATAGTCAAGAAAAAAATATATATATATTTGCTTTTTGGGTCACACCTGGCGATGCACAGGGGTTACTCTTGGCTCTGCACTCAGGAGTTACTCCTGGTGGTGCTCAGGGGACCATATGGGATGCTGGGAATCGAACCCGGGTCGGCCGCGTGCAAAGCAAATGCCCTCCCCGCTGTACTATCTCTCCAGCCCCAAGAAAATATAGTTTTATGTTGTTGTACATACAGATACACATATCAAGATAGTTCAGAGAGATACCTATTCAGATTTAGTGTGAAATAACAAAGATAACACAATAATTCAACGGTTAGGGTTATTTTTTGGGTGGGGGTTGATTTGGGGGGCATACCTAGTGTTCAGGGCTTTCTCCTGGCTCTCTGCTCATGAATCGGGGAGCACTCTTAGCAGTGCTCCGGAAACCATATGCAGTACTGGGGATCGAACTGAGGTCAGCCACGTACAAGGCAAGTGCCTTCACCCCTGTGTGTTCTTTCGGTCCCTCGATGGACAGTTGTTTTTTCCCCAGAAAATGTTAATGGGAGAAGTAAATACAGGTAAAGGGAGCAGCGGGGAGAAAGAAAAGAACCTTGATTCATATTTTATTTGCAAAAATTTACCGGAAATGGCGTCTGGAGCAATAGCACAGCGGGGAGGGCGTTTGCCTTGCACGAGGCCGACCTGGGTTCGACTCCCCGTATCCCATATGGTCCCCAGAGCACCGTCAGGGGTGATTCCTGAGTGCAGAGCCAGGAGTAACCCCTGTGCATCGCCGGGTGTGACCCAAAAAGCACAAGACAAAACAAAAATACCAGAAATGGATCTTAGACCTAAACATAAAAGTGAAAGCTTTACTTCTTTTTTCCATAAGGATTGGGCCTCAGGATATGGCTCAGAGGTGGAGTGCCTGCTTTGTACATGGGAAGCTGAGTTCAATCCCAGGCATTATCCTCCATCATTCCCAGGGTCACACACAACAGGTGCATGGTCCCTGCAATGAAGCACACATGAGCACCACAGCCAAGCATGCAAACCCTAGGAGCTCTGCAACCACGTGTGTTTCCCACCCGCCACCCCCAGACGCACCGCAGCTAACCAGGCAGAAGTTTCTTGACTGCATGCCGAACAACACCTGGGGGTGCAGTCCCCAGACCTTGCAACAAGTGACAAAGAGAAGGGTGGGGGTGAAACCGAAAATAAAAATTCAAATGAAAATGTGGTCCACCCCTGAAGGAATGAAAACATTTTTTAGCACAGACTGTCCACCAAGGAAAGAATAAATTGTACCTTAGCAACAAAATGTCATTCCGTACACTTGACCGAGGATTGTTGCTATTTTTATTTTATTTTTTTGCTTTTTGGGTCACACCTGGTGAGGCACAGGGGACACTCCTGACTCATGCGCTCAGGAATCACTCCTAGTGGTGCTCCAGGGACCGTATGGGATGCTGGGAATCGAATCTGGGTCGGCCGTGTGCAAGATAAACGCCCCATCCACTGTGCTATCGCTCCAGCCCCGACCTAGGATCGTTTCTAGTATAAGGATCTTGTATAATAGTAATCGTGTGAGCAGCTCAGCTGGAAGATAAGAAACCGTTCTCACGCTACCGCTCACTGAAGAAGAGAGGGAACTTTCGATAATCACGTCCAAACATGTTCACCACCATTATTCATGGAGGACATGTCAGCGCCAGTGAAAATGACAGTGAGCTGTCACTGCACATCCAACCATGTGCCTCAAAGCTCAGCGCTGACAATCCGAGAGCTGGCGAGGGACCCGGAACAACTGGAGCTGTTGCAACGTTTGGGGGGGATTGGGGACTCCGACGGCCGTTTGGAAAGTGGCTCGGCAGATTCCTTAATGTTCCATGTAATTTACCATACGACCAGTTTCACTTCTAGGTATTTACCCATGCAAACTGAAAACACATGCTCATCAAAAGTCTTACCCACAAACATTGAAATCAGATTTATTCGTAACAGCCCCAACCTGGAAACGGTCCAAATGCCTATCAGCAGATGAACGGATAAACAAATGGCGGAATAGTCATATAATGACATGCGCTTGGCGATGAAAAGCATCTGAATGCTTATGCGCGCTGTAGTGGGGCTTGTTTGTGCTCAGTGGAAGAAGCCAGACACGAGAGATACGAGTGGTTGAGTGCCATGAAATTAAAAAATGGGAGTTGGTAACCAGTCGTATCGAGAAAAGAGGTTGCTAGTTGCCTAGGTCCCAGAATGTGAGATTGGTTGCAAAGGGGAACCTTTTGGGAGTAAGGTGATATTCCCTCTCTCTCTTTTATTTCAAATTTTTTTAGGAGATTCTTCAATTTTTTGTTTTTTGTTCCCTGGGTCCCACCTGGAGGTACTCAGGGGTTTCTCCTGACTCTACACTCAGAAATTACTCTAGGCAGTGCTTGTGAGACCATGTGGGATGCCAGAGATCGAACCCAGGTCGGCTGTGTGCAAACACCCTATCTGCTTTCTCTCTCTCTCTCTCTCTCTCTCTCTCTCTCTCTCTCTCTCTCTCTCTCTCTCTCTCTCTTTTGCTTTTTGGGTCACACCTGATGATGTTCAGGTGTTCCTCCTGGCTCTGCACTCAGGAATTACTCCTGGCAGTGCTCGGGGGACCATATGGGATGCTGGGAATCGAACCTGTATCGGCCATGTTGGCTGCGCGCAAGGCAAATGCCTGCCCCGCTATACTGTTGCTCCGGCTTGATAGTCCCTCTCTTGGTTAAGATAGCTGTCGATGTGCGAAACACATCAAATGGCACATTTCAAATTGTGCTTTTCTCTTTTTCTCCTCCCTCCCTCCCTCCCTCCCTCCCTCCCTCCCTTCTTCCTTTGACTGGCAGTTATTCATGATTGGGTTTCAGTTGTACATTGTTTGAACACCAATTCTTCTTTTTAAAAAAGTTTTATTAGTGAGACACCATGAGGTACAGTTGTAGACTTACAAATTTTTGTGCTTGGGTTTCAGTTATACAATGATCGAATACCCATCCCTCCACCAGTGCCCATTCTCCACCACCACCAGTCCCAGTATCCCTCCCACCCCCACCCCCCCATCCCTCTCTGCCTCTGTGGCAGGGCATTCCCCCTTGTTCTTTCTCTCCTATTGGTCAACACCAATTCCTTACCAGTGCCACTCCCCCCACTTTTCCTCCCTCCCACTATGAGGGAAATCGTGCTTTTTAAACTATTTACAGTTGTGCTTGTTTGTTTGAAAATGTTTAAAAAAAAAAAAGAAAACATTGCCAATTCGTCCATCAGTGGGTAAAAGGGATCCGGTTTCCACTTGTTCCATTTGGATAATCACCTTTTGGGTTCGCTTATTGGGCTCCCCCTGGCCCCACTTTTCTGCCTTGCTCCTCCTCAAAGTTCTAGGTGTGAGTCCACACTCAGGAATCAAAGTTGTCAAAGTTATCACAGTTCTAGGTGTGAGTCCGGTTTCCGTGTTCTTTATTCCATTGTGCTCATGAATTTGTTTCTCCTGGTCAACTATGTCAGCGTCACAGTGAGGCCCCACGGAGGTTTTAAAATACTAATCCTGTATCTCGGAACTTTGGGCTTTTCTTTGAAAAGTGACTCATTAACTGATTAGCAGTATTTCTTGAGGGCACATGTGTGTGCCCATGTGTGCCCATGCAAGTGTGTGTTTATTTGGGGTAAGTGGTGGGGTCTGGTTGAGCTTCTCCTGTTCTGAATTGGTTTATTTTCTTCAGTTATTTTAAAATTATTATTATTATTATTGCTTTTGGGGTCACACCCAGCGATGCACAGAGGTTACTTCTGGCCCTGCACTCAAGAATTATTCCTGGGGTGCTCGGGGGACAATATAGGGTGCTGGGAATCAAACCTGGGGTTGGCTGTGTGCAAGGCAAATGCCCCCTCCCCCCACTGTGTTATCACTCCACCCCTTTTTAGTTATCCGTTATTGCTTGTCTCTCCATGTAAGCTTGGCCCTGGATTGTGGGGAAGGAGGCCATCTCGGACTGTGCTGTTCCTGGGTGAGTCTGGTCGGGCCTCTTACACAGCCGTGGATGTCATTGAAAGGGGTCTCTTACCACCAGTATTTTCGAGTTAAGACATGGTTGCGTCTTGCATCCTGGAGATGGTGCCTCCTGTCGCAGGCTCCACTATTAAAGAGGCTCTGTTGTTATTCCCTTTTAGTATCCGGAGTGTGATGCAGAAGTATCTCGAAGAGAGGAATGAAATAACCTTTGACAAGATTTTCAACCAGAAAATTGGTAAGTCCTGCATGCTCCCTGGACTTCTTGTAGTTGTGGAAGTGACATCAGATGGTCCAGCGTCAGGGCTGATATGCAGTTCTTCTTCTTATTTTTTTTTTTTAATTTTTATTAGTGAAACACCATGAGGTATAGTTGTAGACTTACAAATTTTTGTGCTTGGCTTTCAATTACACAATGATCAAATACCCATCCCTCCACCAGTGCCCATTTCCCACCACCTCTGGGATGCAGTTCTGATACTTGCTCTGCTTTATACCTGCAGCCGGGAAGGAAGAACACTTCATGTAAATAGGAAGACATTCAGTAATTACTTAGGTTCCTAATGATATGTCTTGTGAATAAGCTATAGGAAAACAGACAAGCCGGAGCTGCTTAGAATATGGAGGGACAAATGATTTGATTACAGATCATGGGGGAGAAGGTGCCCCTTTTGGCTCTTCCCCATCTCAGATATCATCTAGCCTCCAGGAGAATCCTCCGAGAATTACTCAACAAGCTGGCACCATCCGGGCGGTTCAGGAAAGGACCAGCAGGGGATCCAATATGTCCCCCTTTCCTGTTTGCAAAGTGCAAAAATCCCCCCCCCCAAAAAAAAAACAAATGAAATAGGCTTGATGGGTGTTGCTCTCAGCATAGGCTAGTCTTCTCTGCAGGATCAATAAAACAGACGTGATCAGTAAGGCTGTACCAGTGCTGCCAACAGCATGGGTGGTGCTTGGCCACCATGACCTGGGGTCGAGGCCCTGCAATGCATCTGCGACCCTCTGGGCTAAGTTCTCATATTGAATTCCTGAGCGTTTTTCTTGTAACACTCAAACAATTTCATCCTGTAGGGCACGAGTGTCTAGAGACATATGTCCCTTTAAGTCCTGCAGATGGTATCTGATTGGTTTTGAGTTAAGGGTTCTCCCCCCCGCCCCGCCATAGTTATAAATGATTAATCATCATCTTTATTATCCTTGAACATAATGAGGGGTCCTGGGAAGAACTTAAATAGACTCGTAGAAAGGTGGAATTGGAAGGAGGGATATTAGCGAATATGAGTCAATCTTTTAATAATTTTTGCCCCAACTTGCGGTACTGGGCTATTCCCAGATCAGTGGTGCTTGGTGGGGGGTGGGGGGGGATTTGCCACTCTTAATGCTGATCAGAGTACCATGTGGTACTGGGTTCAAACCCAAGGTTCCCTCGTGTGAACTCCTTCACATGTGTGCCAGCCCTCTGAGCCCTCTCCCTGGCCCCATGTCCTAATAGTTTAGAACCGAGGGAGTAAAAACCCAGAAACATTTGATTTGCCCAGGAATATATTACTGTTTGGTTTTCTTTTTAAATCACCTAGAGAAAATTGGGTGAGTTTTTATTTCCTATTAGCTTTACAACTCTGTTTGTTTATTTGTTTGTTTGCTTTTTGGGTCACACCCAGCAATGCTCAGGGGTTACTCCTGGCTCATGCACTCAGGAATCACTCCTGGCGGTGCTCGGGGGAGCCTATGGGATGCTGGGAATTGAACCCAGGTTGGCTGCATGCAAGGCAAACACCGTACCCGCCGTACTACCCAGCCCCCCCATCTTTACAACTCTTTTGTAAACTTAAAAATGATTTCAAAATAAAAATAGCACCAGCAACAATAGCTGCTGGAACTACTTCTAAACAAAAAAGTAAGTTGGGTGTTAAGGTAGCTTGAGGGAGCAAGGGGTTTGGCTAAGTTAAGGGTTTGGCTCTCCGGAAAACCAGAAAGTTCTCTAGACCCCACCTCAGACCTCGTGCCCTCGGAGGTCCTCCTCATCTTTTGAGGACCTCAGGGAGTTGACTGCGGGGAGTGGGCCCAAGTCTTCATCAATAGTACCCTGCTCTAGAATTAGCCCAAAATGCGAGATGACCTTGTCCCGTCCGTTTTTGCGGTGACAGGGCCTGTGGCCCCTTGTCCTCAGTTCTGCCTCAGTGAACTGCCACTTCTTCCAGTGGCTCCGTTCACAGTCCCTACTTAGTGGGCTGAAGGGACTCCCCTGCTGTGTGCTCAGCGGTATCCCCGACCCACACCCACCTCTGACCACTGCTGGTCTTGGCCCATGCAGACGTGTGGTCATGTTGGGAGGGCAGTGTGGTCAGCAGCAGTCAGTGCCTGGAGAAATTAGGCTGACCAGAAATTGCCTGTGTACGGAGTTTCCAGGCTGGGGAGAGAAGGAAATGCGGCATTGCCACCTGCCTCCTGGGAGCCGGAGGGTTGGTGTTCATCCGTTAGGGCTGGGGACGGCTCACAGCTGGCTCACTTCTGTTTTCTGCCATTGTCCCGAGTTCACACCGACTGTCAGAAACTCCCTAATCGGTGTATTATTAGCATGGGGTTTTATCATTTGGTCTGCCACCTTCATGCCAGTTACTCTGCCCACAGTTATGTGACAGATGATTCTCATTTTATTTATTTATTTTTATTTTCACGGAACTCGGCAGAGCTGAATAGCAGAATAGGGCAGGGCCCGAATGCGTGCCCTTTCCTCTGTGCACCTAACTTGCAGCTTGGAACGATTTAGATAGGTGTTTGCTGAATTATGCAGTTACATTCTGGGGACACGCTGTTTTAAAGTTTGCAGGTTATTCCAAGACTGGAGGGAAACAAAAAGTGTTGGATTTCCCCAGGAATCAAGGTCTTCCCTAGACTTCTTTCTGCAGCTGATCGTGTTTCCATTTCTGAGGCTGAATAGCCTCAGACATAATTCTGGAACAGATTCAAGTCAGTGAAGTGAAGTTCTGGGGTAGATTTCCTTCTCTGTTGGGATGGTTCCTTAAAGATAACAGATATAGGAGAGAAAATGTATTCGAACTGGACAGAGCTTTTTTTTTTCTTTTAGAAAGAGTTCTGATGCTCTTTTTTGTGCAAATAAAATAGGAACTGGAACAGAAGGTCTGGACTTTTGTGAACTTTTTAACCTAGCCAACCAGACCAGCGAGTCGAATTCAGCACACTCCTGAAAGTGCCCTGTGTGGGGTTGCAGGATAAGGTGTCCTTGGGCAGCTGATATGATGTAATGGGAGCTACAGATAAGGCGTGGCCTGTCTTGCTTGGCGGGCTGTCTGGAAGGTTGGTCACCGCCTACAGGGAGTCCTGACCCACAGGATTTGTGGTGGGAGCAGCAGTTCAAAGGGTCTGGCTTTCGGGCTGGAGTGATAGTACAGCAGATAGTGCATTTGCTTTGCACGTGGCAGACCCGGGTTTGATTCCTGGCACCCCCTGTGGTCCCCTGAGCACCACCAGGAATGATTCCTGAGCCCAGAGACGAGAGTAAGCCCTGAGCACTGCTGGGTGTGACCCCAATAACAAGAACAACAACAACAAAAAAACCCATAGTAACAAAAGGGTTGGTTTTCATCTCCCTTTTTCTTTTTCTTTTTCCGTTGTTTTCATGATGTTGGGTTAACTCTCACCTAGATACACCTGCTTCTGACTTTGTACTGAAAACCAGAAAGCAGAATTCTCATGATAATGGGGAAGGAGAGAGAAATTGTCTTAGATCTTTTTTTTTTTTTGTGGGGAAGAGGTTGTTGGGTACACCTGGCAATGCTCCCAGGGGTTACTCCAGGCTGTGCACTCAGGAATTATCCTGGCGGAGTTCAAGGGACAATAAGCGATGCTGGGGATTGAACCCAGGTCAGCTCCATGCAAAGCAAGTACGTGCTGTACTATCGCTCCAGCCCCGAGAAGCTGTCTTTGGGAAGGGAGGAGAAAATGGAATGATTATTCAACTTAAAAAAAAATGTAAAACTGTTGAATGTAAAACACTGAAATTTCATATGGGTTAAATTTATACCTTTCATAAAGATTAAGACTATCTTGATGGATTTTTCTTTTAACGTGGTATAAAATCTGCTGTCTCGTGGCTGGCATTCCGTGACTGAGTGTATTCATAAAACTGTGTACCCGTCCCCATAGGCACATCTTATTTTATTCATTCATTCATTTATTTATTTAATTGAATCACTGTGAGATAAACCATTACAAAACTATTTATGATTGAGTTTCAGTCATACAATGAATGGTCAACACCCATCCCTCCACCAGTGTACGTTGTCTTCCACTCGTGTCCCCAGTTTCCTTTCCGCCACCTCCCCCTGCCCCTTGCCTCTATGGCAGGCATCTTTCTTCTCTCTCTCTCTCTCTCTCTCTCTCTCTGGAGTCGGTTTTATAACTGGGTGGTGGCTTTTGGGTGTGGCCATGACTGACTGCCGGGGCTTCTGGCAGTGCAGGGAGGTGAGGTGGGGGGCAGGTATCCCATCCCGACTCCCATTAGACTCATTGTAGAGCATTTCCTGCTCCTCTCCCGAGAAGCACGAAGCACTGTGTCATTCAGCACTCTCTCCATTCTCCCTTTCCCTCTGTCCCTAGGTTGGGTTCGGCTTCCGTGGACCTAATTTCCTCCTCCCTGGTTTTGCCTACGTTGGCCGCAGCACAATAAGGAGAGTCACGCTGTGTCCGCGTGCCTCTGGCTGCCCCCAGCATCCTGCTTCCTCAGTTTGTCCCTGTGGGAGCCTCTCCCGGGACTCTCTTCCCGTCTGTGTGCAGAACAATATCGCTGCACGTGTGTGTGCCTTTAGCTCATTTGTTCATCCGTAGATGGACGTTTGGCTTCTTTTCACCTCTTGGCTCTCGTGAATAAGGCCGCTGGAGGTGGAAGGTATTGCTGAACAGAATCCCCGGACGGTGTTGTTAAACAGTCCTGGCTGACGGGCACCAACCTGCTGGCCCCGTCACGGCCGTCTCCCGTCCCCACACGCAGATGCACGGAGGATTTCCTCCCTTTGTTTTCTGCTCCCCCAGTTCTCCCTTCTGTAACCCCTTTCCTCTCTGCCATTCCCTCCCGACACATGCGTGACCTCCCACTCAACGATTCCAGGGAGGAACCCACTGCGGCAGGTGCCTTTGGGATGAGTGACCCAAGTGGTCCAAGTCTCGCACATCTTCCTGCTCAGACTCCCCCCAGAGCAACCAGCCACACCGGAT